ATATTTATTTTTATTTAAGCCAATTGAATTGTGGGCTATTGTGTAAGGCCCAAAAAGACATTTGCAGCAGACAGCAGACAGAGCAGACAAAACTAGAAAAAAAAACTGGTTTTCTTGCACACTGATTTTGTCAAAAAATTGTTTTTACAAATGAATGTATGTTTCATATTGTGGTAGAACAATCTAAAACTTTATTAAAGCATTGTATCTGTGATGCAGTATGTGCACAATTAGTATTTTCTGTGCATATGGTGAAACCTTAATGATTTCAGTCAACTAAAATTAAAGTAAAATGAGAGGGGCCAATGAAGTCAACAATAACAAAAACATAAATCTCCAGTGTGTTGTTGCTTAAGTGCTATTTGCAGAGACAGCATTATGACTCTTGAGCCGTTTAGTTTTTACAGAGCTTTGCAGCTTTCTGAATCTCTTCTTTATTATGTGCTCAGCATTCTGACACAGAGTCTGGCTTTAAACGTTCAACTCACTAAGGGGGTTCTCACTTTTTATTGGTAGAGGCAGAATTTAAGACCTATCTCGTCCTTCAAGTGCTACTACCTTCCTATAGCCTTTCTTTTCCTCTCTGTTATGAGTCCCTGGAGTCTTGTATTTAAAGCATGAGTGATTTCAAAAGAGCCTTCATAAACTAAGGTATCAATTGATTATTCATAATTTGTTAGAGATTGTAAAAACTGGGTGCTTCGCTTTGATTCCAGCTTTCTTCAAGCTGATTAACAACCTTTCGGCTGGAGATTCTCTCACTGTGAATTTAATTTATGGAGGACCTCTGCAGGTCAGCGTTGAATGGACGGGACCTCCTGCAGGGACATTATGTCTGGTCAAGTTGACTGTCTCCCATACTGGCTAAAAAAGACATCGGGCGTTGGACTTTTACAGGGGCATCAGAGATCTGAAACTAATTCTCTAAGTGTTCAATTGAGGTATTGTTCTTTCTGCAGTGAAGCTTAATGTCTTGTGACCAAAACGCTCTCACTCTGTCTATGTACATTATTCAATTATAGAAAAAAATATAAGTTGACAAGTCTCATATGAGGAATTCACTAAAAATCTTGTTTTAGTCCAAAGCTATTAAAACACTTATTCCAATAACATTTTTCTAGCCAGGAAACCTGACTCTACAATATTATTGTGTTTGGAGAAAATAAGTTTCTAAAACTAGAGTAAAGCTTTGTCCCTGCTGAAACAAACCTGGGGGTAAGGTTACTAGGAATAACTGAGATTTAAACACAGTCATAGTTGCTCTGGGCAGGTGTTCAAACTGGTAGGCTGGATTCAGAAGTCTCTATTCCAGAGCCAGCAATAATATCCTGCAGAAGAAGTTGTGCCATTTCTAAACACACCAGACCCGATTTCTGCTGGCTAAGTGCCTTTTGAATCTTATTCTTTTCACAGTTCCCGATTGTGAGTTTTTTTCTTGCCAGCATAGTCAGCAGTTATGACTTAGTATTTCTGGAAGTCTTTGTTCTGCAGAATGATCAAACTCAGGCTTTACAGAAAACCGGTTTTCTGGGTAAATAGTAGAGTAGTAGTTTCCAGAGAAACTGTACATCGCTCAGTGAAACTCACCTTGCTCTAGAATGGCATGGGCCCCTTGTGGGAAAGGCGGGGCCGTGGGCGTCTTCTCTTGCTTGGTCTGTGGGTCTGACCTCCTCTTACTGGAGTTTGCTGGGCCATTTTTCTCACTGTATTTGCCCCTTCCAGCCCTCTGCCATGCTCCGTGGAGGCCATGGGACCTGGAGGACACACACAGACAAAGAAGAGATCTATTAGACAACCAAAAATGGTAGAGTTACAAAACTTTTTGACAGCAGGGGTATTACAATGGCGCTGGAAGCAAGACCATAAAAAGGATTGCCCCAGTAATGGATGAGGAAACAGGAGACATGTATGAATGAGTGTATATCAGAGTGTGTGTGGGCTTCTCGGAGCCCACCCATCAGCATTTAGGGCCCATCAGGTCAGTGTGGTCTCAGATACAAAGTGCAGCAGATACCAATGCGAGAAACCTAAACCCCTCATGTTTCATGTCTCCGTCACTCTCCCTGGAGTTTACAAACTCATCATCACCCTGAAGGACTTGATGGGAGCTCAGGGATGAGCTATATCGTACAGAAGAAGTGTAGATTTCTTGCGTTTGAATGTTCTAAGAGTGGTCCCAGATGTTCTCAGTCATCTCTCAATAAGTGTGGTCTTATCCCCTTAATCTCCTTCTTTTCCCCCCAGGTTTGGTCCAGCCATAATGCCTCTCTGACCTCCAAACCTGCCGACCTACACGCTCCCCTTATGTTTGTTCAGCATTTCTGTGGCTTATTTTTCAGTGTAAATGTGTGATCTTTTATGCTACATCCATTTTACAAGCTGAGTGAAATTTGAGGCCAGGCAGCAATAGAGTTCATTTCATTTTCACTTCATTTCTTTTACTCTCAGCCTTAGAAAAACATTGAGCACTGTGTGCACAGTGATGGAACTATGTCTTCGATAGCTGCTGAAGTTGAGCTACGGTGTTTGGCAAAGATACTCACACCTCTTTCACATTTTGTCACTTTACAGCAACAAACCCACATGTTGGGATTTTATTGGAAATGGCTAGGCCATTCCATCACTTACCTATGACTTACACAGGGTTATAAAAACTATAGGCAGAACTGCTGTCTGGATTTCCCTGTGTTGAGCAGCATCCATTTTTCCACCAACTTGATTATTAAAAAGAGGTGCAAACCAGCAACATGCTGTCGCCACAAACTTATTTATCAGTGGCGGTGGTGCATTCAGGAAGTTGAGTTAATGAATTTCGTCTTAATGATACTTTATAAAAGCCAATCCACCTTTAAACCTCTCCACAACTTTACCCTTTGGACTCTTTTCTGCCGTTGTTTATTTATTAGATTGGTTTGTTCACTTCTGTTCACTGACAAACCCTATAAAGCTTTTACAAACATCACTAATCATACAATTAAACTCCACGCAGACACAAATTAATACTAATTAGAGTGATTATTTTGTAGTGACAAAAGAAGCAATAAAAATATGTGTAACAAACATTTTTGGCTTTAAAAGCAGTTTTTGGATAAGTATTTGTCAGTATTTAACTTTTCTCCCTTAAATCCGGATTTAGTCTTATCTTCTTTTAGTTTATACATTTTAAACAATTTCAACATCAAGACCGGAACTAGAAGAGGACCAGAATAGGAATCTTTGTTTATGTTTCTAAATAGTTTTGTTAAAATTTTAGAAATAATCCCCTCAGAGGCAGGCTATCTTCTTCTAAATTCGCTTCTTGCATTTTGAACACCAAGGCTGATTAACATTATTCACTTAAGGTCATGATGTTCCCGCCTCCTCCACTCAGAGTGACGGGCACCATTTTTAGATTTCCCAAGGGAATGACCTTCTTGGGCTTTACAACAGCCTGGGTGAGAGCACGGCTTAAGATAAGTCCGCCAGTCAACTGAACAGACTTGTAAAAGTTAAAGTTAGAGAGGCAACTGGGGAGACTAGAAAAGCCAAAATGATGCTGGGTTTGCACTTTTTTAAAGGATTTTGAAGACTTGTGAGCTGAGGCAGAGTTTTGATATTAAATGCTATTAAAAGAACAATGTGCAGCAGGGACCCTGAAGATGGACTCTCTCTGAACTATTAAAACTTGATCCTTTGCTTCACAGAGTTTCAGATCAGTTTATTTATTTTTTATTACAGAAAAAAAAGTAAAATTAAAAGGATGGTCAATAGTTTTGTGGAGTTTTATATATATATATATATATATATATATATATATNATATATATATATATATATATATATATATATATATATATATATATATATATATATATTAATGGTTTCCAGCTGGGACTCTATAGGGTCTTTATTGAACTGTTTTAAATAAACTAGGAAAGGATGGAAGCATTTCATGACTCAGGGTTTAGATAATGACTAAGCCGAACAGCCACCTGAATTTTTATAGCATGTTTTCCTGAAATGTCGGACATCTAAGTTCTATTTCGACACTAATCTTCTTCTGTAACCACATTACTTAGCTACATTTGTGGACTTACAGTGGTCTAATTCATTTGCAGCATATTTTACCATCTAAAGCACAAATGTGACCCTTGGAGCACTAATCTTTGCATTATCCTCTTGTAATTGTTTCAGATTTGCGTTTAAAGAGTTCACTCATCCTGAAAGAGTTCATTGCATTTCTTTCAATCCCAGAGCCTGAATGGTAAAAAAAAAAAAAAAAAAAATCTGGGTGTATTGTTCTTAGGCCTAACAGAAGTATGGGAGTCTGATTTGGCTCTCCATTCAGATGTAGAAACATGAGAGTAGCAGCACACCTAAGCTAAAGAAATTTTAAAGCTTACCTGCTGAAGTTGGTTAAGCTAATTCAAAGGATCAGATGTAAATATAGGACCTTAAATAATGTTTTCAGTTTTCAAAGGCTTGAAGTATACTGGGCAGGAGCAAGGTTGACATATATTTATCATAGGAGCACATTTCGTCATAATGGTTTCTGTGGATTTTCTTTAATTCACAGTAATTTCAACAAATGCCCACGTGTATACATTCCCTCCAACAGTCTTAGTTAAGTGTCTATTACCAGGCTATAGAGAAACCTTTTTGTTGCCATGGAAAGGTTTCCTGTAAAAATCTGTCTGGATACGTCACCTTTCTTTCACCCTGACAGGTTGTAGCTCACTAAAATTGGTCAGCTTCTTGGAATGGAGCTTTTATTTTTTCATAGCAGTCTACAGATTCATGGGGCTGAGGTTGTAATCCTAGAAAATTTATATTAATCTAAGCCTTCTTTATATCCTGTTTTGATGTGTTTGAGTTTATTTTCCAAATGCAACACCCATTATGTCAAAGTTTCAAACGTCCAGCTGTCTAGCAGATCTAAAGTTTAATATTTCTAAAGAGATCTTTCCTTATGTTGCCCCCATTCAGGGATAACAAAATATTAGGGGTGTAAATCACCCACTTTGTCATGGTGTTTGTATTAAAATACAATGTTTTCCAATATCACAGTATATCACAGTCTGTCACAATGAGATACAGCTGGAACTCAATTAGTAAGACAGCAATCAGTCTGATGTGATCTTATATAGCAATCTAAGAAATCATTATCAGCTCACGGAAATGATGATCTCTTTACAGTCGGACACAATGCCAGTGTAGAACTAGTATATCCTAAAGATTATGATGTATATTTTATCTTTGCATTGATGCAGTTAAATAACTTATCATTTAGGAGATACAGCAATATGAATCGATGTGTTACTACTGTACACCTCTACCAAACAGTTCCTCATCATGAAGCTACCACCGCCATGCACCGCCATTACCACTGTGACCAAAAAATAAACCATTGTATCATCTGACGCAAAACAAACCAACACATTTTTCTTTAAGAACATCAAGCTTTAATTTGAATTAGGGATATTTCTAATTGTACCTATAACAATGTGTTCCAGGACCTGCACAATAGTGGTTTATTGGGGACTGTTTGGGTAGATGGTTTGATTTGGGAATTGTTCATCAGTGATTCCATATACATATCGGAACAGAACTGTTTAAAAAAATATACTGGCTAAGTCCAAAAACAATTATGTACTGAATATGGAGCCAAAATGATACTGATGCTTGGTGATGCCTCAAAGCACAGTAGGAGATTTTTCTGAAAATTTATTAGAATCCCAATATATTTAATTATTTGAATCAATGTAGAATAGAGAAAATTTACACACAATAGTCAAAATTTCACTTTTAATTCTTTGTGATGAAATTATTTTGATTTAAATTCCATTACCCGGTATATTCTATTCTCAAAAAAATGAGTGGGAATTAATATTTTAAACGTTAAAATAAATCAATAATAATACAATTACTTTTAATGTTATTATTCATGTTCATAGGGATTGTATATAAACAATACACATAATTCTGCTTAAAACAACGAATTAGGTAAAAGATTTTGTTTTACCAAAACAATGTTTGTCAGACTCCTTCCTTTCCCTTTCTCTGCTAACCCATTCAAATTATTTGAGAAATACCTTCAGATAAGAAATAATATACAGATAAAACATCATCCAGACAGGAATACAGACATCGACTATACAGGAAAGCATTTTGTTTTTAAACACACTCAGTACACTGCTTCACAATGCCAGACTGCCGATGATGTTTAGGTTACTCTAAACTTTAAAGGCCCACAGACACACTGCAGTGTGAGTTTGTGATACTTATTGTGCCCCGGCTCACACAAACTCGCCTGCTTTTCCTCTCCGGGTGGCTCAGCCTGTCACAGTCCGGGTCCATAATGAGACAATTTAGATGTCTCCTGTCATTGCAAGCTGTCAGCCAAAGCTCCATACTGGGGGTTTCAAGGGAAAGCATCTCGCAATTCTCCTGACAAATTTCAGCCTATCATATCTGGCTATGGGAGGGAAAAGTGTAATGAAAGCTTCTAAAAATAAGCCAGCCTCAGCGATAACACTAGCAGTATAGATTAACTCTTCCAGCCTGTGGGGAGAGTACATCAGCCTGACACATAGGTTGACAGGTAGCTTTTTGTCTTGGTTCATCTGTGGTTGAATATCTATAGATTGAACTTGACGGAAAGAGGGAGATTTCATTTATCTCTGGCTAAAGTCTTTAAAACCAAAGATATCTACACAATTCGAAATAAGACCCCGTACCGGCCCCACTATTACTTCTATGTTTGTCTTCGTTTTGTC